TAAGAAAACTACTATTGCATTACGTGATTTGATTTCTAATAAAGTACACGTTTCTTATCGATGTGGTACGCGTAGAAACAAGTCGCTAGGTTTAGGGGGGCGCTCGGACGCCCGGACGGAAGCCCGTGCCCGGACACCCGCGCTTGCTAGCCTGTTGCGTCTCCCCGCCCGTTCGCCTGGCCGTCGGCTTGCTCGTGTCGCCCGCCTGGCCGTCTGTCACAGCTCGCGTCTACTCGCCCGCTACCCTGCCTGCTCGCCCAGCCGCTGCTTGTGCCTGCTCGCCCGGCTGCTTGGTCACATTTGCTCGCGTGCTGCCCTTCCTGCTCGTCCGCTGAAACATATATAACACTATGATTTAGTTTTGCAACAACCAAATAAAACACTTGCAACATACGTTGGAAGCAACTGAAACACTTATAATATCAAATCATATTTTTTTTGCGGAATTAAATAAAGATAATTTTTATATGAAAATTATAGATCTCGACGAGATCTACAACTTTCTAGTTTTGAGTTTTTTCATTTGAAGTCGTTAAGATGCTCAAAAAAATTAATTACATATTTAGACTTAAGAGTATTTTTGATTTTTTACACCTGCAGTTGACGGCGTTAGAGCCCAAACTGACGGCAGTGGCATGGAGGGCACAAAAAAGTTATAGCAGTGGCGTTGAAAACCGCTGAACTTTTTCAAAGGCACACAAAGGTGCATTGCGATCTTTTTTAATGGCACACAAGGAATTCCCACACGCGCCACTTGGGCGGCATGATTGGATCTGGACCGCTAGACGGGCCGGGCCGGGCCGGTTTCATTGTTATTATTTGTATTCGCAGACGTCTTGTTTTTTGTTTGCTGCTTGCTGCGCTGGACGTCACCCGGAAGAGAGCGCGCCTTTCCTACTTTGGTTTCGGCTCCATCTCGAATCGAATAGAATAGAAAAAAATAGATTAGTTATTATTGTTTTTTTATGTATTAGCAAAATATGCTCATGCGTTGCAACGGAACGTATATGACTCGTTGGTTAGTTATATGTACAATTTATGTTTATATTCAATAATGATCGTGCCACCTGTTCCGGTACGCATTGGAATTGGATTGAGTACATTGTTGGATGCGTGTTCTTCTAACTCATATGGGCATGAGCTATGAATCCAGACCACATACGGCATAAACGCATTGTGGGAAGTATAAAAGTATGGACAGAAGAATCCATTCTCTCCTTAAGGCATGCCTATGCCTTGCAATGGGGTCGTTTGTTCGAACACACGTCTTGGAACCGGGCTTCTGTGATTGGGCGCAGACTCTAATAACTCGTATAAGCATCGGACGTGTTGCGTCAGGACTGGAGAGTGAACCAATCAGGACTCTAACCCCTTAATTTATCATGGACTATACTATTATATTAAAATTAACTGGCCAAAACTCTTATGCTCAGGTAAGTAGATGGACCGGACGGAATGAAAATTTGGTGAAAACGGGAGAGAGATTGAAAGATGAAAATTTGGTGAATATGCTTCAGATGTTACAACGAAATGTACAGCTTGTAACGAGGTCTCTTGAGCGATTTGTGGCTCAGAGATATGAGCAGTGCCGTAATGGGCTATGAGCTTTTGATAAATGGATTAAAAGTATGCTTCCTCTCAATAGATTTCGTGTTTTCTTCTTGTTTCCAAGACACTGATTTTAAGTATATGCAGATATTGTTTATTACTATATTAGGAAGCATTATTCACACGTAAACTAAATTATTTTTTTGCATGTAATTTTTCCGGTGTCGACGCACGGGAGGAAAAAAGAAACGACTGACAGACTCAGAAAAACAGATGGAATTATGGTCTAGAGGAAAAAGGGGGGCTGAAAAAGGGACGAAATTGTAGACCGGAGAAAAAAGAAACGGACAACGTAAGAACTGTAAAAAACAAAATCTGAAGAATCATGTCTTGGATAAAAACGGCAATAGAAAAGAAAGGATACAGAGCTATAGACGTGTGGGACGTGTGGGATAGACGAGTCTACGAGCATGTTTGGAGACCATGAGCTAATTACTAACTGGCTAAATTTAGGTCAAATTGACTCTAGTGCATTTAAACATGAGGACTAATAAGTGGGCTAATTTTTTAGTCAAATCTTCGACTAGTTGTTAACTAACTAATTAACCAACCTTAGCTAATTTGAGCTAATTTTCAACCAACTAGTAACTAGCTCTAGTCGATCTGAATAGGTCCTATATATTTATGATATGATGCGGGATGTGTCAAGCTACAATCACAACTCAAAGGATAGATGACCAAAATTATCAACGGACGCAGAAAGTAGGGGTAGGACAGGAAAAAGGTTATGGTCCAAAAAATGAAAAAATAATCTACGGAAAGAAAAAAATATATATGGTCCAAAAAAAGAAAAAATAGACTGAGAGGAAAAACGACTCGGGCATGGAAAATGAAAAAAAAGTGACGTCCGAGCGGGTGTGTGATTAGGCTGGATGAAAGATTTCACGGTATAAATTTTGGCTTTATTTGGGTTAGGATTCCTATTCAACTTACTTAGGATTGGAGGATATATTTGAATTAGGATTCCTAACTATCCAGGTTACGGTTACCTTAAGAATCTGTGTCTATTATGTCATAAAACGGAAGATTTATGGAGAGACAAACAGAGACAGTTTTCATATTCACGGAGTTACGTTAGGGAAAGACTGACAAAAAATAAAAGAGGAATTTTAGCTCTTTAATGTTAGATTAGATATATAGATATAGATAAATTATTATATATCGTATGGAATGATAATCATATTTGATAGGAGAAAAAATTAAATCTTACAAATTTTGATCAACGGTTAGTCAAACTATATGCAAGTTTAGATATAGAACTTGTACAAATAGATTTTATATTTAAAGTGTCTCAGAGATGATATTGTTTTTTTTAGCAACTAAATATATGTTAGAAGAGAAAGTGAATATTAAAATCAATTCTGTATAAGCAAATGAGGGAGTATGATTGAAAATAAAAAGGCTTTGGTGTCAACCTCCTTATCAAGAGGGCCAATAATAAGCCGCAACCGTTACAAAGTTATGACCCAAGCTATCACATCCAATCCAATAATCAGCATATTCGCTTGGTCGTAAACGATCGTAAATTTCCAAATGTAACAATATTTTTTCTCTCACACCAAACCAAATGACCCGGTGATAATAATACACGATCGTTTCAAATTTCAAATTTAACAGTGAAATATCATACCATGTGCGGTGCGCCACACAGTACCGCATAGGAGTGTGGATAATAGCCGGCTTTTAATCTATTGACCTGTCCTAATCATAAATGACTGCACTTGATGAAAATGGAAAATTGCAGTATATAGCTAACGCCTTCAAAGTACGACAAGCATGACTGCATGAATCAATAGCTACTCTTGATCATCTTTCTACTTTTTTTATATAATAGTTATATTGTAACATGGATGATGCCGAATTGCTGATGCCATGCTAGAGCTGGCATTGGTCCCTTCTTTTTCTTTTTCTTTTTCTTTTAACATTTGCTCCTTGTTTGGTCATCACTAGTCTATTACGGAGGACATATCTTGCAATAATAAATGGTCAGAATAAGACTATTTCCTTCATCTAAAAGCTTGTCTGCTACCCTCTCCATCTCCATAAACGACTTTTGTATCTTGGCCCCTGGGTTACCGAGATGAGGCGTATATATTGCCCTTGACTTCATAACAAGGAGCAAGAGCATAAACACAGAGGGGTGAACTTACAAATAAATAAAAAGCAGGGAGGAAGGACAATCACATGCGAAGCTAGACCTCTTTGTTGGGGGTAAGCTGACCCCTATGACTTTTGGTAAAATCAGTGAGAAATCACCGTTATACACTATTTATAACATGGAAAATCCTAGAACTGCAATGTTGAAGGCTCCGGTGAAGTTTTCGCCTCAATAGAACCCTAATTTGAGGTATCCTAGGGCAAACTGATAATTAGGCATCCCAGGAGCAGGCAGTGGCTTAATTGTCCGTTTTTTTAAAATGGAATGGAATGATTATCGATTTCTAAGGGGAAATAATGGTACAAATAAACCGATCCGAGCTCAAAAGCTTGCCGTTGGGCTCCAGCTAGCTAGCTACAGCGTAGGCCCACCGGCACCAGGACAGCTTCTGGTCGGATTAAGTGGGCCAAAATACAAACCGGGCCAAATCTGTCCCGAGGAATGCTGCATTGGGCTAGGCCTCACGGTACGTGCTTTCCAAGGCCGAACCGTCCGGGTACTCCAGTAATAAGATAAGAAAAAAAGCACTCAGTGGGAAGGTTCCTTTTTGGTAGAACTATACCAGGGAGGATGGTCATTTCACTTTGATTTATTATATCTATGTCTGGGAGGGTTTTCTACTTTTCTTCACCGACCTTAATAGTCAATTGTGATCAGACACTATCTTTAATTCCTTTATTTATAACCAGATAGGTGGACACATTGGTAAAGATTACATAATAAACAGATCTAGTTAAGATAGTGTATTAGTAATCCTTATGGGTAACTAGAAAGTGGAGAAAGGCATAGTCATACAGATTACTAGTAGATAAGTAGATATGCAGTAACCAGCAATTGTCTGTGTAGAGTTGCCGAATGAATTCTTTCATTACCTAGGCAGAGCTGTTTTGAGAATTCAGACTGGACAGAACCAAAGGTAGAGTTGTTTGAGAATCCAGACTGGACAGAACCAAAAGAACGTGCAGTACTGGACGCGACTCCAGTGAACTAAACAATTTCACGTCCTGGAAATTGCTCGTACAGGTTCCGCACATTTTCAGAAACACTCCCTGTTCTAAAGCTGCATTCATTTCCCAGCTCTCTTCTGTGCCTCTCAGATATATCTGATGGCATCCAAAACTTCTCTTTCCACTTCCCAGTCGTTTCTCTCTTGCTCCTAAGACGAAGGTTAGTTCCAAATCATGCGTGAATCAGAAGGATGAAAATTGACTTTGGGATGCTTGTGCCGCAATGCTTATCTCCCCACAACTGCCTTCATCTGCAACCAGTATCCTGCACGCCATACAGGCACCAGATATAATAAATTGATCAGGGAAGCATATTGAAAAGATATGTTATAGCTCTTCAGCTAGTTATTTTAGGGTTTTATAGAGTTCAGTTAGTTGTCCAAACATCTAATATTGCCATAGCATGGCCCTTCTTTTAAGCTAGTATGGACTTATTTTTTTTGTTGCTTGCTGGATTTTGATTGCTGGTAGGAGAGCGGTCCATTCCCTGCTGATTTAGTAGGGAACACCATGGTACTAATTTAGTATACCTATCCAGAAGCCCTGGCTCACTCTATATAAATTAATTAATGTGTACTTGAATTTGTTCACTCGTTAGTCAATACTACCTTCAACAACTATAGGTTGGATCTTTCAAAAAATAAATCCTAGAGGTTGGATACTTCTTAAACCAACTAAAGATAGGAGACTGACTAAGGAACGGCATGGTGCTTACTCTCGAGGCCGAGAAACCCAGGGGGGGAGCTTAAGGCACGGAGGCGGTTGTGGTACTCGCCAATGGCCAAGAAACATCGCGCCGCCTGACGAACTGTCAGAATCCGGTGCATCTGATGAAGAGTCTGCTGCCTCAAGTTATCAGCCTGGAAATTACACATCTAGCTTTAGCACATGTTGCATAGTTGACAAGTCATATCTTCTCTACAACGCAGACATGAAACTTCCACATTTATACATTCTGATGGCATCATAAAGCCTATTAGATATCAGTGAGCTACATAGTATCGAATAATTAAACTTGACGTTGTCTAAAAAGAACAGCTGCTTATTTTTTTGCGAGTGTGGCAAGTCAAATAAAGATGTCCTGACTCCTGAATACATTATCTCTGCGAAATTTTTTTATTAATTAACTCTTAGAAGTCCTATCAAGTGGTTACTTGCTCATCTACAAAGTTGAGTGGAGGACTATATAACACTGACATAATGATCAAGAGTGAAAATTTCATGTGAAACCATAACCTGTATCACAAAACCTTCAAGGTTGGACAGCTTGCCAAGGGCAAGGGCCATTTGACCCATGAAGCTCATGTTGGTGTCATCAATCAGAGATCCACCAGCCATGGTGTCAGCTAGTGACTGATGCAGCTGGTCCAGGCCCTGGGAGAGAGCTTCCTCCGCCTGCTGTGATGACTGTTGAAGGTTGCATATGCCTACCAGTTGCTGCTCAGTCAGGGGATCCAGCTGGGGCAGCAGCGTCTGCAGCAACATGAAAAATTATATGTACTGAAATTGAAAATCTTGTACTAAAATGACGTCAGATAATTTCGACTTTGTTCATGTTTTCCTACTGTTGGTTGAAAAATTCTTGTTAATTCAAGTATTGAAAAGGTAAAAACTGTCAAGTGAGGTTTCTACCACAGTAACCTAGATTTAGCTTATCAATCTATGTGAATGCAGTTGTGTACAGTATGTATAGTGCAGGCAGCTTGACATCAGATGTTCTATACTTCTATATTCAGATTATCAGACGAATTCATACCTTGACCAGATCCGCACCGCTCGGAGGTGGAACACATCGGACTTGGCTGCTGACGCCTTGAGCTGGAACAGCTCATCGTGGTGGGTCAGGGTGTCATCCACGATGGCTCTGAGGTCAGCATCTGGCAAGTGCGCGTGCAGAGCTCCGTGCAGCTCGGCCATGCGCCGGCCGTGGTCGTCCAGCCACCGGGCGTACTCCACGTCGAACATTGCGGCGCCTGGACATGGATGGTGAGACAAGTGGACTATAAAAATGCTGGAGATAATAGTTATAGCTACAACAACGCACAAGAACGTTGAGAAATGAGGATCAGATTAGGCACCTGAGCTGGTGTTTGCACCTGGAGCTCCTCCAAGAAAGATGCCCTGAAAACACACGAGTTCAGATTTCATCGACTCAGATGTTCAGTTTTTTTTTTTTTTTGATAAATAACTCAGATGTTCAGTTAGTAGTCAGAAGGCAACTCACAGGCCTAGAAACTACAGTGTACCTGGGAACGTGCTCTCTGCATGTCCTATTCTATCTGAGCAAGCTTCAGTTTGCTGCTCTCAAGCTGCTGAATGTAAGGCTATAGCACATTGACAAAATTAACTGCCAAGAACTTGGTAAACTCACTGTTAAATGATTCAGTTTCTAAATAAATGGTGCTCAGTATTCACCTTCTTTCGCAGCCGACTTTTGCGTGCAGCTTCCCGGTTCTGCGCAAGCCTTCTGATTGTCTGCTGACACGAAGAGACATTTCTTTTTTTTTTCTTTTGATGCAAAATTGAGGAAAGTGAATGTGTTTGCAAAGTTTGAAAAAAAATGTGAATTGCCAAGACCATGTGGATTCTGTTAAAGTTACAGTCACTGGTAAAACTAATATATCAACCATTGTTATTGTTGGACTAGGTGCGATGACAAGCCTGATCGGCATCTACCTTTGTGAGCACGTAACGAAGTGCTTTTGATTTCGTCATGACAATGGTTGAGTCCAGTGTACATGATTCTCGTGGGACGATTTACAGTTGACATTTTTTGTGATGTGGGATCTTCAAATCACCCTCAGGTGAGTAATTATTGCCTCATTTGACTTCGCATGTTTTTTTTCAATCATTGCATACATTTGACAACTACTCCTAACTTCTAAATTATATATCTCAGGACCCTTCGTGTATATGATATTGAATAGTTTCTTTTTACACAATTTCACGCATATAAGTTATAATTTTTTCAGACAAAATAATTTAAAACAAGTAACATCATTGGCGGTCTTAAACCTGCACGATGGTGTCATCTAGGTTCCTAATCCTCAAATTTACTATATTCCGGTCCCTGAACTTGTATTGTGATGTCACTCGGGTCCTCAACAACACAAGTAAAATCTTACCTGTCTGGTTAATCTGTATTCGCAAGCGTGTAGAAAATTCATTCCATACCTGCACCAAGGATAATACCCCTACTCCGGGACAATACAACTTAGAGTTCACACACTAAAATATAATAGCTTCAAAGAAACAAATCAACAATAGAGCAAAGAAAATGTAAATATGGGCCGGTGGAGTGGATGAGGATGAGGATTAGGGGCTGAGGAGTTTCAGAATATATATATACCACATGCTTATATATGGGTCAAATATGGGCATATGCTTATATGGGCTAAAATTGCAAGGTTGGATATTATTTATGGTTTTTTTACTCCCATGGGTAATGCTTGGTATGGGTACACCATTAATCACACCTGCATTCTCTGCATACCCGATGGGTATATAGAATTGGCCCAATAACGATTCCAAGGTGCAAATGTCTTCCATACCCGCCTCCTTATCGGGAAACCCACCGTACTCTGCTGTTTCTGTACCACATCTCTTGAATGTCAGGGTTGCAAGCTGGCTGGCTCACACCTTCAACTCCTAGCTCATTTTCACTCGCCTGGCCGCCTTCGCTCATGGTTCACCGCAGCCTCGGCTCCGTCATCTCGACTCGTGAGGTGATTTCGACGATCCAGCTTCGCCACGGCGAAAAGCCCTTTACCTCCTATTCGATTCCCTCGCTCGCCTTTTCCGCCCTTCTCTCTCTATCTCATTCTCTAGATCTTGCGGATTATGTGAGTTCGTGGTGCCCCGCTTCTTCCTCCACTGGGCCGCCGTTTCTTCTCACCAAGTCATTATTCTGGTGGCTCGCTTCAAGATTGAAGCCCGCCATGAGTACACCAACTCAAACCTTAATTCCTAATTTCAATTTAACGATCCATCATCTCTCTTCTGGCTGATCTATTTGATATATTGCTTCTCCTCCAGCGTCTTTACGCAGGTTGGTAGCCGGCGCGCCGCCCCCAGGTCAGTGGTATAGAGCGACCATAAGCGGCCTCGTGCACCGTTGAGGAACTGTAAGCTAGAGAGCCTCATGGCCGAGGTGCCATGGTCGTGCCGATGACGCAGATCGTCTCGGCCGCGCACCAGCAACGCACGACGATCTCATCGGCAAGGCAGTTCAGGCACTGAGGACGACGGCGTTATTTACACCCAAGAGGACGATGCCGCCTTTGTTCTGGTCCGGATGGTGCAGGTAGAAGAAGCAAGAGACTCAGACCCTTGGCCTCGCTTCCGACGGCTCAACTTCTATCTGTTGTTGGTACTGGTACCTCTTCCCGAACTTGGTGTTGGTAAACATAAATCTGCTGTGTATTCGATTTTGATGAGATCTACGAGATCGTGAATGGTAGGAAAATGCACTAAAGATACCTATAAAATGTATAAGCATACTTTATCCTGCTAGATCTAATGCCGGCACCGGGCACTTGAAGAGGCACATTAAATCTTGTAGGCGTAAAACCCGATCAAGTCATTAGGGTTCGGGCCTAGGCTTGCTTACAATACTCGATGGTTCATGCATAACTAGGACTATAAACCTAATGTTGCTAGATATGAATTGTGTCGCTTGAATGCTAGGCTTGATTTGTCGTTAGGTATTGTAGGAGACAGAGGCATGGGAGATTACATTGTCCGTGTTTCATAACCCTAGGTTTGTTAAAGTATCTAGATCGTATCACCACTAGATATCTCGAAAGTAAACTGCTTACGAAGCGTTATAATATGCTTAAGAATTCTGTTGTCTCGCCGCTTTCCGTTATTCGACATCGAGATTTTGGTCCAAGAATGCTAACGAGATTACATTAGTTGTTGTTTGTCCTTTTGTTAGTGCCGATTGGGGAGTTATAGAACAAGGTTATTGGGCTTAGGTTGATTGAGGTGAAAACATACTGTGAAAAATATTATTTAAAGAGTTGCTTGTGTTGGAGGAGTTTAGAACTCATTGATAAAGGTTCTCTCGAACTCTAGACAATACTGCTTCTTCTAATGCTAAGGCTATGGAAACTTTGACACTTATGTTTGTCAAGTGCTTGGGTCCCCGATCCTCACACCTGAGCCTCGCTTGATCCTTCTAAGCCGTAAGTACGCTTGTCCATCAATGTTGTGCTTGTTACTATCATTAACTGATTGTAAATGCTGGTTTAAAGAGGTTCAAACCTTACATCGTAAGATTTTAGAACTGCTTATTAACTTCTAAATTCTCTAATCAAACAATTGCTTTGTTTAAGAACTACTATACCGCTTGTGTTAGGACCCAGGAAAGCTTGGCTGGGATATGGATGTTAGATGGAATGCTACATATCTTATGCGTTAAACACTCTGATTTAATATAAGCATGTTTTTCTTCAAGTGTTCATTAATTTCAATTATGGTTGTGAATTGTTGTCTCGCAAAAGGCATTGGTACATAGGCGAAAAAAGATATTGGAGTTTCTAGAACTATTTTATGACTCCAATTGCTTGTTCTTTCGGGTGTTTACTATCCAACTAGTCCACTTATCCTGCCGCTTTCATCTGCTAGAAATTGCTTCTCATTTACATGCAAGTGACAAAGATCAAAACCCATTGTCGTTAGATATTCTATGAAGCTTAAATTCCTTAATACCGGCAAGATATGTACCTCCTGTTATATTTATTTGCATTCATTCTTAATCCTAGAGCTAAGATAGAGAGGTTTATGGTGAGATTTTCTAATTACTTAAAGAGAGCACTAATCGTTGTGATTATACTCATATTATGCCTATGTGAAAACTAAAATTTACAAGTTATTCCCCAATAAATATGAGAGAAAGTTTATGCAATTTGTGGGGTCAAAGGGTTTCATTTCAGCCTGCAAGCTACAGCACTCGGTAAGAGAAAACAAGCATGAGGGAAGAATTTGAGGCTGCGGATCTATTGTTGGTCCTTCCCGTCTTCGAAATTCCTTATTCTCACTAATGAGTTTCTCGTCTAGACAAGGACAATGTCGAGTATATGGAGGATGATTTGATTACTGTGGTGCGGACCAATAAACCAACCTATTCAACTTATCTATATACGGTTGGTCATTATGTATGTTCCTATTTCTACCGCTTCTTCTAATCATGTTTTAGCTTGACAGAAGGATAATTGAA